CCACAAACCTCTGATGATCAAGTAAAATCTGACCATCAGATTCCTTCATCTGGTCAAGCTTCCTCTTCATATTTGTAGCATAGTCATGTGCGAGCCTGTGCAACTGTTTATTCTCATGCTTGAGCCCTCTAATCTCCTGCTTGAGACTCATCACTTTAGCCGCCAATGATTCAACTTGACGGGTTCGAGCAAATAGGCATTGGGCCATATTCGACACAGAACCTGCACACTGAACACTGAGAGCCAGATAATCCTTAACAGCCAACTCATCAGACCGTTTGGAAAGAAGTCTGTTATATTTGGGAGTGAGAATATTCTTAGCCACCACCGCAACGGTCATATCATTCTTCATCACGGAATCCCAACGGTAAGAAGACTAGTAGAGGATAAGAAGGATGGGCGCTATATGTTGTCTGGAGAAGGCGCAGCTGCCTATTCACCAAGGTTCAAGTCAAAACAACGGTCGGAAGGGCCTGACATTTTCAAAGGTGTTGAAGAGAGAAGAAGTCGGACAAATCAAGATCTTAAAAGTGCAAGAATGGAGCTTCTACTGGTGGAGATTCAGGTGTGCTTTGGAACTTAATGCCAGCCTCTATAAAAATCTGCACTCGACGGAGCTTCAGAAATCAAAGAGGCGCCTGCTCAGAAATCGAAGAGGCGTTTGCTTTCTCAAAAGCTGGGCTACTTAGACCACGAGGGCCGATCTCAAAGATCGAAAAGGCGTTTGCTTTCTCAAAAGTTGGGCTGCTCAAAGACCACGTGGGCCGATCTAAAAAATCGAAGAGGCGCTTGCTTTCTCAAAAGCTGGGCTGCTCAGAGACCACGAGGGCCGATCTCAAAAATAAAAAAGGCACCTGCTTTCTCAGCCTTGTCAGCACTTGTCACATGCACACTCAGCTATGCGAAAATTATGGGCAATCTGTCGAAGATTTTTGGTGAAGTAGAAAGCACGTGAATCTTACTGTTCAATCATCCACTTTCCACACGCAACATCAGCTAATGGGTACCACAGATAACTTTGCCAAAGATCTCTGACAAAGTTTAGACACGTGAAGCTTGCCGTTCCCACTACATCGCTATGACCAAGAAGGGTAAAAGAATAGCAAAGAAACAGCACTAACAAAGTTTAGACACATAAATTTTGAAGGTTTAGCTACCATATTATTACCCACAAGGGTAAAGGAACAACACCACTGCTGGATAATTGGAAAGTCCCTGTGTGTCAACCTCTGTGCTCTGTGGCAAGGTAGACTGGCAAAAATGCTCAACCTTTACTCACATTCGAGAAAACACTCCTAACAAGATTGCTTGCTCCAAAATCGAAGAGGCACCGCTCTCCGAATCTCGAGAGCCAGACTCCCAACAGGATTACTTTCTCAAAAATCGAAGAGACACCGCTCTCCGAATTTCAAGAGCCAGACTCCCAGCAGGATTGCTTTCTCAAAAATCAAAGAGGCATCGTTTTCCGAATCTCGAGAGCCAGATCCCCGACAGGATCGCTTGTTCGAAAACCGAAGAGGCATCGCTTTATCAACTTCGAGAGCCAGATCTCCTTGGATAAAGCTTGTCTGTAATCTTCACACTCAACATCAGCTTCCCAGATACCACAGACCACTTTTTCAAAGTGCTCTGACAGAGTTAAAACACGTGAAACTGGCAGCTCCCACTACAGTGCTATGACCAAGAAGGGTAAATGAATAGCATTACTACTTGTTGTTAGGGAGACTCCTATATATGTCGACCTTCATCCTCAACGGACAAGCAGACCTGCAAAAATACTTAACCCTTCCTCATATCTGAGAGGGCACTTCCAATGAAGCCTCTCAAAATACTCAGCTTTATTTCCCCCTATAATACCTCTGCAAACAAGCTACACCAGAGCAAGAATATCTCATATCATCAGGGTTAAAAGCAAGAGTATCCCATATCATGTTTTTTCCCTGTCTTTTCCTTTGGCCTTGTTCTTACCTGCAAGACAAGAAGAATGAGAGCAATCAATCCGCACTTGGAATCAAGCTTCCAGTCAGGAACTAACTGGCCTTAACCCCTTACCTGATTACTTACTTGGCATTGCTCTCGAGTACTCATCTTCAACATCTTATGTTTCCAGAAAAGATACCACATATGCTTGAGGAACAGATAGGGCAATTGAGAAGGATACAAGGAAGCATGTGGAGACAAGCGTAACAGAACACGTGTCGATACTTCCAATACTTTGTCAACAGCAAAAGTATCCCATATCAGCAGGGTCGAACGTACTCTAGATTTTATGGACTTGTTTTGACCCTCAAATTCTTCAGTCAACCTTATACTCTAGAGGTAACCAGAAAACCCTCCAGCCCAGTTCAAGAATAAGCCTGTGGAAAGTTACTTTTTCAAAAGCAAAAGTATCTCATATCATCTCTTCTCCTTTTCTTCTCTTTATCCTCCATGCTGCCTGCAAGATAAGGGGAATGAGAACCATCAGCTAGAACTCAAAATCAAACTTCTGATCTGGGACTGATTACTTGGAGCTCTGATTGTTTACCTTGTCTGTCACATCTTTCAGTAGATCCCCTAACTCGGCGACTTGGGGGACTCCTACTACATGGTTTGTATCGTGCTTGACCAAGCCTGAAACTACAAGTAAGCTTCAAGTGAAATTGATACATTACCTTGTGCATCTCCACCAGTTAAAGATACCACCCCTGGACGGAGGAAGAGTACTTCCAGAGAAAATGCCACATCTACCTATGAGACAGATAAGGTAAGTGAAGACGATACCACATTTCGGTACTTAGAAGTTTCGTGATTACTCAGCGACTTGGATCTTGCAAGTCCCCAACCGATGAGCTTCCCCTCCAACTAGGAGGCCAATCACAGAGCGACACATGTCGACATCAGAAGTCAATCATAGCACGACACGTGTCAACTTCAGAAGCCAATCACAACAATGTTAGAACAAGGCTAGAAACTTTCTTCTATAAAAGGAGATCATTCTCCCAAAATATTTCCGAATGCCATTTGTACTAAATCATTCACTTGTACCCACTAAAGGAGAGCTTGAACTTATGTACTTGTGTAAACCCTTCACAATTAATAAGAACTTCTCTACTTCGTAGACGTAGCCAATCTAGGTGAACCACTTACATCTTGTGTTTGCTTCCCTGTCCCTATCCATTTACATACTTATCCACACTAATGACCGGAGCAATCTAGCGAAGGTCACAAACTTAATAGTTTCTGTTGTACCAAAGTCCTCACTGATTTTATGCATCAACAATCCTTAAGTCCTTACCTTTTTGCATTGGTAATGGATGAGTTAACAGGACATATTCAAGATGTTATTCCTTGGTGTATGCTTTTCGTAGACGATATAGGGTTGATAGATGAAACTCAGGAAGGGGTAAATGCGAAGCTTAACCTTTGGAGAGAAGTGTTGGAATCTAAAGGTCTTCGCCTAAGCCGATCAAAGACAGAATATATGGAATACAAGTGGGATGGATGAAGTAGAAGAGTGCATCCGGCGTGTTGTGTGACCGTCGTATGCCACTGAAGCTTAAGGGAAAATTTTATAGGATGGCAATAAGGTCGGCGATGCTGTATGGCACAGAATGTTGAGCGGTGAAGCATCAACACGTACACAAAATGGGTGTAGCGGAGATGAGGATGCTTTGTTGGAGGTGTGGGCTCACGAGAAAGGATAAGATTAGGAATTAGTGGGTTGGACATGTGCAAAGAAGGCCTACTGACGCTCCAGTTCGAAGATGTGACTACGGGACAGAGGTTCAGGGCCGAAGGGGTAGAAGAAGACCTAGGAAAACTTTGAAAGAGACCCTAAAAAAAGACTTAGAGTATTTGGATCTAACGGAGGACATGACACAAAACCGAGCGCAATAGCGTTCTAGGATTCACATAGCCGACCTCACTTAGTGGGAAAAGGCTTTGTTGTTGTTGTTGTAGTCTGATGGCTATTAGAGCCCATCAGAGAGAGAGATATATATATATATTTTTTTTTTTTTTTTTTTGATTTAGTATTTCTATATATTATTTTTATATATTATTATTTTATATATTATTGTATTCAATAAAAAATTATTTTTGGGAGCCCCCAAAATTTTGGAACCCTGTGCAATAGAACCGGTTGCACTGGTAGATGTTAACATTACGAAACCTGTTAATGGGAAGCTGCTTATTCATAAACTTCCTAATTAAGTAGTGTAAAATCAACTCATCGTCGGTAGGGACGAAGCGATGTGTGCATCAACCGAACCTACCTCATCGTCGGTGGAGGAGAATCAATGTGTGCATCAACCGAACCTACTTCATTGAGAACTGGAACCATATTATAGTTGAACTGATTGATTTCTTCCATTGAAGGTGATAAAGAAGAGCTCCTAATTTATGATTATGAAGCCTTTCATACAAACTACCTGAAAATTGTAGGCGTCAAGGGTTTTGGGCCTTATTTGCATAGGGCTAGAATTCAGCGTCGGCTCGAATAGTAAAATATGGCCCAATCGTAAAAAATTGTTAAAAGTGTTGCAATTTTCAATAGATACTTTTTTTTTTTTAAAGTTTTAATGAAAGGTCCGCGGTACTATTCACTTTAACGAAAAATCACATTTTTACATTAAAAAGTCAAACCGGTACTATTCACTACCCTTTATTTTGTCCTTATCGTTAAAACTCAAAGTTTTCAAGCCTTTTTCATTATTTTTCCTTCTGTTTTTTTTACCAAAAAAGATATTATGCTAAATGGTGACACCATATTGTATGTTGACTATTTTATAATAATTTAATACCGCGAATTATTATATGTATCTTAAATCTAATATTTACGCAACTAGCATTTTGCAGTGGTGACAAAAAATAATTATGTCTATGCATTATGGTGCGGATTCAATCTCTACCGATTTTTCATCTCCCAAATAAGAGACTCAGTAATAAACAATGCGTGCCACAAATAAGTAGCTAAAAATACACAAAAAAGAATTATGAAAAAATAGAAAAAAGGTGGGGGAATGCAACACGAGGACTTCCTAGGAGGCCTCCCATCCTAGTACTGGTCTCGCCCAAACTCACTTAACTTTGGAGTTCTTATGGGATCCGGTGCACGTGAGTTGGTATGATCGCATCCGTTAGTCTATGACTTGTAGTTGAGCATAACCATTTCTTTGGCCATGATCTTGTAACCTCTATGCATGTGCAAATCATATCGGCTCTAAACGTTCGCACGAATTTCAAAAATATTAATCAAGACAATCCCTCGAAATTTAAAAAATATAATTAATAGTCTTTCCCATCCATTTCTTTCATTTTCCGAGGAATATTGATCAAGACAATCACTCGAAACTTCAAAAAATAGAATTAATAGACTTTCGCATTCCTTTTTTTCATCTCTCAAGCACGAGACTCGGTAATAAACGACGCGGGCCACAAGTAAGCCACTAAAAATAAGCAAAAAAGAATTATGAAAAAATAAAAAAGAGATGGGAGGATGCAACACGACAATTTCCTAGGAGGTCAGCCATTCTTTCACCCAAACTCGCTTAACTTCAGAGATCTGATGGGATCCGATGAATGTTAGCTGGTATGATCACAGCAGTTAGTCTATGACTTGTAGTTGTATATAACCATTCCTTTGGCCATGACCCCGTCGCCTCTATGCATGTGCAAATCACATCGGCTCTAAAAGTTTGCCCGAAATTCGAAAATATTAATTAAGACAATCCCTCGAAATTTAAAAAATATAATTAATAGTCTTTTACATCCATTTCTTTCATCTCCCAAGGAATATTAATCAAGATGATCCCTCAAAACTCAAAAAAATAGAGTTAATAGTCTTTCACATTCCTTTCTTTCATTACCCAAGCACGAGACTCAGTAATAAACGACGTGCGGCACAAATAAGCCGCTACAAATACGCAAAAAAGAATTATAAAAAAATAAGAAGCCGCTAAAAATACGCAAAAAAGAATTATCAAAAAAAAAAAGGTGGGGGGATGCAACACGAGGACTTACCAGGAGGTTACTCATCCTAGTACTACACTCGCCCAAACTCGCTTCACTTCGGAGTTTAAATGGGATCCGGTGCATGTAAGTTGGAATGATCGCATCCGTTGATCTAGGACTTGTAATTGTATATAATCATTTCTTTGGTCATGACCCCGTAACCTCTGTGCATGTGCAAATCACAACGGCTCTAAACGTTCGTACAAAATTTGAAAATATTAATCAAGACGATCCCTTGAAATTTAAAAAATACAATTAATAGTCTTTCTCATCCATTTCTTTCATCTCCCGAGGAATATTAATCAAGACGATCCCTCGAAACTCAAAAAAAATTAGAATTAACAGTCTTTTCCATTCCGTTCTTTCATCTCCCAAGTACGAGACTCGGTAATAAACGATGCGCACCACAAATAAGCCGCTAAAAATACGCAAAATGGAATTATGAAAAAAATAATAAGACGCTAAAAATACGCAAAAAAGAATTATGAAAAAAATAAGAAAAAAGGTGGGGGGATGCAACACGAGGATTTCCCAGGAGGTCACCCATCCTAGTACTACACTCGCCCAGACTCACTTAACTTCGGAGTTCAGATAGGATCCGATGCATGTGAGTTGGCATGATTGCATCTGTTGGTCTATGACTTGTAATTGTATATAGCCATTTCTTTGGCCATGACCCTGTAACCTCACATCGGCTCTAAACGTTCAACGAAATTCGAAATATTAATCAAGAAGATCCCTCAAAGTTTAAAAAATACAATTAATAGTCTTTCTCATCCCATTCTTCCATCTTCCGAGGAATATTAAAACAAGACGATCCATTGAAACTCAAAAAAATAGAATTAACAGTCTTTCCCATTCCTTTCTTTCATCTCCCAAACACGAGACTCGGTAATAAACGACGCGTGCCACAAATAAGCTGCAAAAAATACGCAAAAAGGAGTTATGAAAAAATAATAAGCTGCTAACAATACGCAAAAAAGAAGTATGAAAAAAAAATAAGAAAAGAGCTGGGGGTATGCAATACGAGGACTTCTCAGGATGTCACCCATCCTAGTACTACACTCGTCGAAACTTGCTTAAATTCCGAATTCAGATAGGATCTGGTACATGTGAGTTGGTATGATCGCATCCGTTGGTCTATGACTTGTAATTGTATGTAATCATTTCTTTGGCCTTGACCCTGTAACCCCTATGCATGTGCAAATCACATCGGCTCTAAACGTTCGCACAAAATTTGAAATTGTTAATCAAGATGATCCCATAAAATTAAAAAAATACGACAATTAATACTCTTTCTCATCAATTTCTTTCATCCCCAGAGGAATATTAATTAAGATGATCCCTCGAAGCATAAAAACATAGAATTAATAGTCTTTCTTATTCCTTCATTTCATTTCCCAAGCATGAGACTTGGTAATAAACGACGCGTGCCACAAATAAGCCGCTAAAAATAAGCAAAAAGAAATTATGAAAACATAATAAGCCGCTAAAAATACGGATAAAATAATTATGAAAAAAATCTGAAAAGAGGTGGGGGATGCAACACGAGGTTATCCCAGGAGGTCAACCATCCTTGTACTACTCTCGCCCAAACTCGCTTAACTTTGAAGTTCTGATGGGATCAGGTGCATATGAGTTGGCATCATCGCATCCGTTGCTCTATGACTTGTAATTGTATATAACCCTTTCTTTGGCCATGACCGTGTAACCTCTATGCATGTGCAAATCACATCGGCTCAAGGCGTTCGCACGAAATTCGAAAATATTAATCAAGACGATCCCCTGAAATTTAAAAAATACAATTAACAGTCTTTCTGATTCATTTCTTTCATCTCCCGACGAATATTAACCAAGACGATCCCTCGAAACTCAAAAAAAATAGAATTATTAGTCTTTCCCATTCCTTTTGTTCATCTCCCAAGCACGAGACTAAGTAATAAACGACGCGCGCCACAAATTAGCCACTAAAAATATGCAAAACGAGAAATACGAAAACAAAAAAAAACAAAAAAAAAGAGGTGGGGGATGGAACACAAGGACTTCCCAGGAGGTCACCCATCCCAGTACTACTCTCGCCCAAACTTGCTTAACATTAGAGTTCCGATGGGATCCGGTGCATGTGAGTTGGTATGATCGCATCAATTGGTCTATAACTTGTAATTGTATATAACCATTTCTTCGGTCATCACGAAATTTGAAAATATTAATCAAAACGATCCCTCGAAATTTAAAAAATAAAATTACAAATCTTTTTCATCCATTTCTTTCATCTCCCGAGGAATATTAATCAAGACGATCCCTCGAAACTCAAAAAAATAGAATTATTAGTCTTTCCCATTCCTTTCTTTCATTTCCCAAGCACGACGCTCGGTAATAAACGACGCGCGCCACAAATTAGCAGCTAAAAATATGCAAAACAAGAATCACGGAAACAAAATACGCAAAACAAGAATTACGAAAACAAAAAAAAGAGGTGGGGGATGCGACACAAAGACTTCCCAGGAGGTCACCCATCCTAGTACTACTCTCGCCCAAACTCGCTTAGCTGCGGAGTTCTTATGGGATCCGGAGCATGTGAGTTGGTATGATCGCATCCATTGGTCTATGACTTGTAATAGTTTATAATCATTTCTTTGGTCATCACGAAATACGAAAATATTAATCAAAACGATCCCTCGAAATTTAAAAAATACGATTAATAATCTTTTTCTTCCATGTCTTTCATCTCCCAAGGAATATTAATCAAGACGATCCCTCAAAACTCAAAAAAATAAAATTATTAGTCTTTCCCATTCCTTGCTTTCATCTCCCAAGCACGAGGCTCGATAATAAACGACGCGCACCACAAATTACTCGCTAAAAATAAGCAAAACAAGAATCACGAAAACAAAATGCGCAAAACAAGAATTATGAAAACAAAAAAAGAGGTGGGGGATGCAACATGAGGGCTTCCCAGCAGGCCACCCATCCTAGTACTACCCTCGCCCAAACTCGCTTAACTGCGGAGTTCTGATAAGATTCGGTGCATGTGAGTTGGTATCATCGAATCCGTTGGTCTATGACTTGTAATTGTTTATATCCATTTCTTCGGTCATCACGAAATTCAAAAATATTATTCAAAACGATCCCTCGAAATTTAAAAAATATGATTAATAGTCTTTTTCATCTGTGTCTTTCATCTCCGGAGCATATTAATCAATGCGATCCCTCGAAACTCAAAAAAATAGAATTATTAGTCTTTCGCATTCCTTTCTTTCATCTCCCAAGCACGAGGCTCAATAATAAACGACCCGCGCCACAAATTACCCACTAAAAATAAGCAAAACAAGAATCACGAAAACAAAATGCGCAAAACAAGAATTACGAAAACAAAAAAAAAGGTGGGGGATGCAACACGGGGACTTCCTAGGAGGTCACTCATCCTAGTACTACTCTCGCCCAAACTCGCTTATTTGCGGAGTTCTGATGGGATCCTTTGCATGTGAGTTGGTATGATCGCATCCGTTGGTCTATGACTCGTCATTGTTTATAACCATTTCTTTGGTCATCACGAAATTTGAAAATATTAATCAAAACGATCCCTCGAAATTTAAAAAATACGATTAATATTCTTTTTCATCCGTGTCTTTCATCTCCTGAGGAATATTAATCAAGACGATCCCTCGAAACTTAAAAAAATAGAATTATTAGTCTTTCCCATTCCTTTCTTTCATCTCCCAAGCACGAAGCTCGATAATAAACGACCCGCGCCACAAATTACCCGCTAAAAATACGCAAAAAAAGAATCATGAAAACAAAATGCGCAAAACAAGAATTACGAAAACAAAAAACAAGGTGGGGGATGCAACACGGGGACTTCCTAGGAGGCCACCCATCCTAGTACTACTCTCACCCAAACTCGCTTATTTGCGGAGTTCTGATGAGATCCTGCGAAATTTTAATCAAAACGATCCCTCGAAATTTAAAAAATACAATTAATAGTCTTTTTCATCCGTGTCTTTCATCTCCCGAGGAATATTAATCAAGACGATCCCTCGAAACTTAAAAAAATAGAATTAATAGTCTTTCCCTTTCCTTTCTTTCATCTCCCAAGCACGAGGCTTGATAATAAACGACCCACGCCACAAAACAAAAAAAAAGGTGGGGGATGCGACACGAGGACTTCCCAGGAGGTCACCCATCCTAGCACTACTCCCGCCCAAACTCGCTTCACTGCGGAGTTCTGATGGGATCCGGTGCATGTGAGTTGGTATAATCGCATCCATTGGTCTATGATTTTTAATTGTTTATAACCATTTCTTTGGTCATCACGAAATTCAAAAATATTAAACAAAACGATCCCTCGAAATTTAAAAAAAAATCGATTAATAGTCTTTTTCTTCCGTGTCTTTCATCTCCCGAGGAATATTAATCAAGACGATCCCTCGAAACTCAAAAAAAATAGAATTATTAGTCTTTCCCATTCCTTGCTTTCATCTCCCAAGCACGAGGCTCGATAATAAACGACGCGCGCCACAAATTACCCGTTAAAAATACGCAAACCAAGAATCACGAAAACAAAATGCTCAAAAGAAGAATTACGAAAACAAAAAAAGAGGTGGGGGATGCAACACGAGGGCTTCACAGGAGGCCACCCATCCTAGTACTACTCTCGCCCAAACTCGCTTAACTGCAGAGTTCTGATGGGATCTGGTGCATGTGAGTTGGTATAATCGCATCCGTTGGTCTATAACTTGTAATTGTTTATATCCATTTCTTCGGTCATCACGAAATTCGAAAATATTATTCAAAACGATCCCTCGAAATTTAAAAAATATGATTAATAGTCGTTGTCATCCGTGTCTTTCATCTCCCGAGGAATATTAATCAAGACGATCCCTCGAAACTCAAAAAAATAGAATTATTAATTTTCCCATTCCTTTCTTTCATCTCCCAAGCACGAGGCTCGAAAATAAACAACGCGCGCCACAAATTACCCGCTAAAAATACGAAAACAAGAATCAAGAAAACAAAATGCGCAAAACACGAATTACGAAAACAAAAAAAGAGGTGGGGGATGCAACACGGTGACTTCCTAGGAGGTCAACCATCCTAGTACTACTCTCGCCTAAACTCGCTTATTTGCTGAGTTCTGATGAGATCCTGCGTATGTGAGTTGGTATGATCGGATCCATTCGTCTATGACTCGTAATTGTTTATAACCATTTCATTGGTCATCACGAAATTCGAAAATATTAATCAAAACTATCCCTCGAAATTTAAAAAACATGATTAATAGTCTTTTTCATCCAGGTCTTTCATCTCCCGAGGAATATTAATCAAGACAATCCCTCGAAACTGAAAAAAAATAGAATTATTAGTCTTTGCTATTCCTTTCTTTCATCTCCCAAGCACGAGGCTCGATAATAAATGACGCACACCACAAATTACGAGCTAAAAATACGCAAAACAAGAATCACGAAAACAAAATTGGCAAAACAAGAATTACGAAAACAAAAAAAGATGTGGGGGATGCAACACGAGGGCTTCCCAAGAGGTCACCCATCCTAGTACTACCCTCGCCAAAACTCGCTTAACTGCGGAGTTCTGATGGGATCCGGTGCATGTGAGTTGGCATGATCGCATC